GTATAAAATCTGTGAAAACGAGGTAAATAAAGCATTTGGGAAAATTATTATGGTGAGCAAAAACAGTAGTATAATCTGTGTAGTTCAACACAGCTGGATGAAAGAAGCCATAATCAGTCAGTCTGGAAGCACATAGAAGACTAATACAAAGAGACAATGAAAAAAGGGAGATGCTACTGCTTCTTGGTCAGCGAGCTTGGGAAAATGAGAAGCTTGTTAAAAGGCACCTCACGTATATTGTTTGCTTGGAGATGGTGCTCAGTATTCTGTAGCTGTGCTGAAGCAGAAAGAGGAGGGGTGCATTTGGAGGTGAATGAGATGATGTGTGGGTGACAGAAAGGGAATGAGGGACAGTGATCTAAAAGAAGAAAAATAGGTAGATTGGCAGTAATAACAGACCAAGATGAACAAAGTTAGGAGAGAGGAGGGAAGAGAATGAGCAACGCTACTAGAGTCTAAGGGTGTTAAATATGTGACAGAGTGAGTAGAGGTAGAGAGCAGATAAAGAATGAAACAAAATGATGGATGCAAAGAGGGAAGAGAATTGTATGCATACAATAAGATATCAAGAAATCGAGTAGATTCTAGCAATGGACTAGAAAGCTGGCAATTTGCAGAGAAAAGAGAAAGTAGGAGGCATAGCGATAGAGAACAGATGTTTGCTTAACTTTGCTACTAAATAACAGATGTCACCTGGTGCCAGATGTCACTAACATGATTATAAACATGTACAAATATCCATAGTTTCATATTTAGGGATTTACAGATGTTCTCATGTATCTTAGCATACAGTACACATCTTAGCAACATCTCATAAAGAAGTGTATAGGATTTACTCTATGAAAGCTTAGGATACCACATCTGTCCCACATGACCTAATTCCTAAATATGATCATAATTCAGTTCTTTCTCACAGAAATAGAACAATCCACCTGAGATGACTCAGCCACTGTAGGAGATCATGATGTCATTCTACGGCACTCTGAGGACCTACAAGAAAACACTGACCTAAAATGACTTGACCCCCTGTTTTCAGACATCAAACTTTCAAGCTTTCTATAGCTTCAGACACCTGCTGAATATATGCTGCTATATAGAGATGCACTGTATGTGGCAGCATTTTACTGTAGAAAATAGTTTAGGTCTTACCTTAAAAGATATCACAGACATTTCGTCCTTCCACAATTTTATCCCAGTGGTTACATGTAGGGACACATGGGTGACACTCCCTCCATGTTCTCCTCCTCGTTGGGCGCCAAGTATAGGTCTCATAGAAGGCCTACCCCGGGCCAGGTTCTTCTGGGCTACGCTAGACACCTTGGACAGGGTCACTCACCTTACACATGGGGTGCCTTTACTTTGTATTGTTCTCACCAATGCCCGGGGACAAGACAGGGGGTCACTTTCAGGACAGCTCAACCTTAAGGTGGGACCCCAGCTTTGGAGATGACTGTACACCGTGCACACTTGAACAATAAACTGTACTCCAGTTAACTCTTTCGTCCCCTTGTCAATAAACACTGTACTGTCTCTGTTGCATTTAGGAGGGACCTGCTGAGCCTATGCCCATTCCACCTGTCCAGCTTATTTCCACTACCTCTCTACCAGTAAAAGAATGGGGTCCCGCTGAGCACCTAGCGTGGACTCCATACGTGCTCTGCATAAACTTTTTCCTCGTTCGTACCTCTGCAGAAGCTGGGGACCTCTGCAGTGCTGATCTGCTCCCGTTGCGATGGGGAACTGACCGCTCATGGAGAGAGTGCCGACAGCTCCCTTGCTGCAAGAGGCTGTACCACCTGTCACAGGCATGCACTTCATGACAGGCTGCTTGATAAATCTGTTACCATAGGTAACCACATGCTTGTACTGCACACTGTGTTAACTCTTATGGAGCTGTCTTCATACCCCAATGTGCTCTACTGACCCACGCTGTAGACTGTGAGGTCGATTCACTAAAACTGGAGAGTGCAAAATCTCTTGCAGCTCTGTATAGAAACCTTCCAGGTTTTTTGTCAAAGCTTAATTGAACAAGCTCAAGTTAGAAGCTGATTGGCTACCATGCACTGCTGAGCCAGTTTTTGCACTCTCCAGTTTTAGTGAATCTACCTCACCTCATACACAGTCTTTTCTTAACATCCCTAATCCCTAACTCAGACTTGTGGCTGCCCTAGTATACTTGCACAGGAATGATCAGACAGACTACCCCTGCCCCCCTTCCTGCACAGCCTTTCACTGGGAAGATCAGTGTGCTGCTGTTTCTCCTCTCCTAGCTCTTATGAGAACAGAGAGAACGTGTAAAAAAGGGTAAAGAGTGCGTTTATGTTCTTTTATATCTACAGTATACACAAATGTTTTGCCTTTCATTTCTATTTTAATCTGAATGGGTTGTTTTACAAGGTGAGGGTTTACGTATACTTTAAAAGACTGAACGTAAAACAGCGATGCTCATATTTTTATATGCTAGAATATAGTTCCTAAAATTGCTTTCTCTACAATATCATCTGCACTTCTGGGCTGAGACATGCACAATGGCATCAGTGTGTCCCCCTAATCTATGTGATTTGCTAAAACAACTTCATCAGGGCATCATATATAACCACTTGTCATCCACCTATAGCAGAAGCACTGTTGCAGAGCGGCACGGCTGCGCAAAATTACATATATACGTGATTTGCATTTCCGAGTAGTGGGCACGTGCGCCGCCCTACACGCTCCCATATTGGCAAAGCTGACAGGGGAGAGACCTGTGTGTAAATAACACACAGGTCTCTCTCCTGTCAGCATGGATATGCTGCTTTGTATGTCTCTGCAAAACAGCATGTCGCCCCAGATGTTAACCCATTCCTGCCCAGTGTCATTAGTACAGTGTCAGTGCTTTTTATTGATCACTGTATTAGTGTCACTGGGGATGTCAATGGCAGTTAGTCAGTTCCCACTCAGAATGCCTGCCGTAGTCCCACTATAAGTTGCTGATCGCTGCCATTACTAGTTTAAAAAAAAAAAATCCACTATATATACCGCCATTTGTATATGCTAAAACTTTCACATAAACCAACTAATATACATTTATTGGTATTTTTTTCCAAAGACATATAGCAGAATACATTTTGGCATAAATTTATGAAGACATTTTTTTTTTTTTGTTTATTGGATGTTTTATAGCAAGAAGTAAAAAATATGTGTTTTTTTCTTTTTCAAAATTGTTGGTCTTTTTGTTTATAGCGCAAAAAATTAAAACCACAGAGGCAATCAAATGCCACTGAAAGAAAGTTTGTGAGGAAAAAAAGGACATTTATGTACAGTGTTGCATGACCGTGCAATTGTCAGTTAAAATAACGCAGCGCCGTATCTCAAAAAATGGCCTGGTCAGGAAGAGGGGTAAATCCTCTGGAGGGCAAGTGGTTAGATAAATGTAGCACACCCCTGCAAGATCCTCTAGAATTTTACCCAGATTCTATCTTATTCAGTGTAAAGGCAGCCAGGCAAATGGCAGCAGACACTCATATAACTCCATGATCAGTCTAGGGGTATTCTTTTTTTATTAAGTTTATTGCAGATTAGCTTGGATGGGGCTTAGGGGTAACTGGGGGATACTCCAACAACATTTCATAGTAACTTGAGGACTCTTATCTTCCTATTAAATATTCTGAGCACAGTCTTTGTCCACTTTTAAGCACACGCTGACTCTGATGCAAGAGGGGATAGCAGCAGCACACAGTCACTGGTCTATACTCACTAATATCCTTGAACAGTTGGATGCCTCCTTCCAATATCTTCAAGACACTTCTCCTGTGAATTCTCCAGATCAGATCCCCAAAAGAAGTCCCTCAGTCAACTTCAACTTCAGCAGAATATGCTCCCCAGCTAGCCACCTGGGACCTTGATGAGTAGTAGAAAAGCACATCTAGCGTGTCCAGAAGGGCAGCAGCCCTTCAGGCAGGGATCTCCTCCTCCTGGACAAGAGACCCCTCGGATCCAGGTCTCAGACTATTTATGCTCACTCCCAGACAACATCTGGGCACCCTCCCCCAGGGATTGGCTGAAACTCCATAAATATTCACGCTCTGAATTTGACTCTCTCAGCCGACTATCTTCAAGAACCATCCAGAAGGTGGGGAGAGCAGTCAAACCCACAGCATGTGAAACCCAGAGCAGACCAAAGTAATCACTAACAGCTCCACTGATTACAGAAGAGCTAAAGACTACATTTATCTAACCCAGCACCTATCTAGGAAGGTGCTACATTATAGTATATTGCAGCTGACCAGTCCTTAGGTGTGGTGGCTGCATTCATTTTTTGTTTTAGTCTATTTTCAGGCCTTCCTTTACTTTCACCTGGTAATCCTGAGAATAACACACTTCCTGTTTCTTGGTGGCTATGCTCACTCCTCCAGTGTATCTATGGAGGTTGTCTTGGTAGGCACCAAGGCTGGACTTCAAGCATGTCTGCCTTTGTTTATCTCCATTAAATAAGGGATGGTGAAATTAGAAGTTTAGAAAAGGAAGATATTTCTTTTTCTTTTGTTACCAGTTCAGCTCACAGGAAGTGAAAAAGACACTGCATGCTGGGCCAGATCAGCAGGTATTTTTTTTTTTGTACTTGCTGAAAATGTTCTTAGCTTGAAAAAAGAAAACTACTGTAGCCAGTACATAATAGGACTGGTAAGATGCAATAAATTAAGCTTGTGTTCCTGAGTTTAGTTACATATATTTGTTACAAAGTTGGTAAGGTTGAGTAAAAACACACAGGTCCCTCTAGTTCAATGCGTGTTTGTACATGTTTGTTATAAATTCCCATAACTCTGTATATTTTGTTAGAAACATATACAGTATATAGTTACATAGTTTATATGATTTATAAGACACAGATCCATCAAGTGTATGTATGTGTTTATAATTTTTATTCTCCAACAATTCCCATGGCCCTGTATGTTCTGCTTCCTGGGTAAAGGATCTAAGGCCACTTTCAGATGGGGTAGACTCAGGGGCGGACTGACAACTCATGGGGCCCCCGGCAATAGGGGATCATGGGGCCCCTGTGTCCTTGCCCAAACTCAAAAAAACCTATGAAAAAGGTACCAGGGGCATCTCATGGGGCCCCCCCTACTGACCTCGGGCAGTGCCCGAGTTTCCAAATGGTCAGTCCGCCCCTGGGCAGACTCCGTCTTGATCAGCAAGTGATCACTATCATTTTCTGCAGAGCAGACACAGACATAGCCCACTCTGCTCTATGGGCTGCCGGGTGTAAACGGACTCTGCTGTCCATTTACACCCAACTATCCTCCAATCTGATCTGCTTAAACAGAAGAGGACAGATTCCCTTCCATTTTCAATAGTGACCAGTTTGGAGGGTATATGGACTTACACCAGCCTGTCCATAGGGGTGAATGGACCATGCGATTAGGCCTACCTGAAAAACTGACAGGTGGACCTGATCGGTTCTGCCATGTGAAAGTGACCTAAAAGATTAAGTTGTCGACGCTCTCAGCTAGTACCTCTTCTTGGGGGAGGGAGTTCCACATGTTTCCACAATATAACCTTCTTTCTTCTAACCTCAGACCATGACCGTTTGTAAAAAAAACGTTTACTTTGAGGTCTCTGTAGAGGACAATTATTGAAATCACATTTGATATACAGTGTTTGTACATTGTAATCATATTCCTAGTAAGTGCCCCTTCTCCAGAGTAAATAACTGTAATCTATGTAATCGATCCTCGTAGCTGAGGTCCTCCATCTCCCTTATTAGTTTTGTTGCCCTTTGCTGAACTTTTTCTAATTCAGCAATGTCTTTCCTGGGGATTGGTGACCAAAACTGAACTGCATATAAAACGTAAGGTTGAACCAGAGTTTTGTTACAGGAGTTGAATTATTGGTATATCTCTTTAATATATGCCCTTTTTAATGCATGTGAATATTTTTCTAGCTTTGTTAGCTGCAGTTTGGTATTGCTTGCTATTGTTAAATTTGTAATCTACAACCACTCCTAAGGGGGCCATTCTAATGTGTAATTTGAATAAGTATTTTTGGCACCCAAGTGCATAACTTTATATTTCTCAATATTGAATCTTATCTGCCAGTAGCTACTCAGACTTCTATTTTGTTAAGGTTTTCCTGTAACAATGCTATGTCCTGTGCAGGGGTGGACTGACCATTTGGGAACTCGGGCACTGCCCAAGGGCCCGGAGTCAGTAGGGGGCCCCATGAGATGCCCCTGCTACCTTTCATAGGCTTTTTTGGGTGTGGTTTGAGTGTGGGCGAGGACAAAGGGGCCCCATGATCCCCTATTGCCCGGGGGCCCCATGAGTTGTCAGTCCGCCCCTGGTCCTGTGCCAAAGTTATTTCCCTGCATGATTTGATATCATCAGTAAATAAAGAGTTTGGAACTCAAGAGTTCAAATTCAGTATCATTAATAAACAAACTGAACAGCAATGGCATGATACATGAGCACCAAGACAGAACTCTGGGGATCATTTATCTACTACTACTCTCTGGACTTGTTACACTCTCCGCAAATGCCACTAACTGTGGAAGGGAGTTCCACATCTTCACTGTTCTGCCAGTAAATAAACCCTCGTTTGTTTCATTTTCTAATAGTTGGTGGGGACAAATGTTCTTTTTCAATTGCAGTGACAAGATCATTTGAAGGAATAAGATGGAAAATTAGTCTTTAATGAATTGCCTGTTATGCACATTTAACAGTTTTGACAAGGCTGAGATGTGGCTTAGTGCTTCTGAAAAGAAGTGTGAGGTGTTTGGATTTATGTAGCATTGTCAACCAAAGCAAAATTCAATTTGTCAGGAGTACTGTTTGTTCTTACTATAAATTGCCATTGTACTATGTTATGTAACAGTACACAATTCATATCTATATATATATTGTATATGTAACAGGAACAGAACAGAAAATCAGACAAGGCTGCTTTATATGTTGCTACAAAATATTTCTACACAGAACATTTAACTAACTTTTATTTCTAAATGTTTTTAGAATTTGCCACTATACTTATGTGAATTTAACTGTGCATTTAAGGTATAAACACGTCAATGGGATCTAAATTTGGTTCTTTTTCAGTACTAGCTGCATTTAATTTTGGAACTGACTCATGCCACAATGTCTTTAACAATGAAGTTGGATTCTTCTTTGCAATTTATAACTTTCTGGGATAATTTCATTAAATAGAAGAGTGGGCTGAACATTACGCATAGTTAAAAGAGGAAGTATATATATCCTCCATATATACATCAGCCACAATAAAACATTTATATCTTGCATTCATTCTTTAAAGTGCTCCAGCTCTATTTTCATGTACATTAGGGCTTCTGTTGCACATATGACCTTTTTTCAGTAAGGGTTGACATACAACAATGATGAGCTAAGTGTACTAACAATCATGTTTCAGTTTTAGTGAAGATGAATTGAGATTAGCTGCAATTGGTTTTTCTTATTTACATGTATTAAATAAGCCAGATAGATTTCAGTCATTAACTTTAATGCTAGGCCATAATCCATAACATTTGCATTGTTAGATGATTAACAAACCTCAAAAAAATTGATATATGGGTTGTGAAAGAACATAATGGTATCCATGAAAAAAAGGCTACTATGAAGTATAAAGTTTACGTTGATGTCCTCTGCAAAGTGACTTGCTAATGTTGCACGTATAAATTTGTACTATAATGGCAATTTATGCTAGACAGTGTTCCAAGGACAAATCTTCATAACCTTAGATTGTCCTCGCAATTCTGGGATAGCTGTAAACTATGGAATGCTAATTTAGAATTGTTGTGTGATTAACACCAAAGGCAAAAACATATCTGCTGTCACACAGAAAATCCAAACCGGTAATTCATAATCACTGTGTACTGTCCTCTCTGGTGCACAGCCTAACGGATTTTGTGGTCCTTGGTTGGGGGGGGGGGTGTCACTGCTACTTTAGTATATGATGGCATCAATGCTATTAATACAATCCTTGGAGTTTACCTAGTTTGCTCTGGACCCGCTGGGGGTGCTTGATTTTTTATTTTTTTTTTGCACTATGCCATGCAGCACATAAGAAAAGAAAAGGTCAAATGTTTGCAGCATCACTAGTGAGTTCACACCCAGAGCGTCAACGACGTCAGGAGCTCAGAGTAAGAGGAAGTCTCCTTCCCTGCACCATTCACATGATAGTTCCAAAAGGAGGACTTTCTCTCACTTTGAGCTCTCTCTGTATATGGTGCCTGATGAGTGCATTTAGGGAGATCTGTACTGAGGGTTCTGTATGTTGGGATGAATGGGTGGTGTCCGTACTGTGTTTTTTTACTTTGAGGGGATGGGGGTGTCTGTACTAAGGGAGAGGACTGTGTGTACTAGGGAGGGATGGACTGTCTGTACAAGGGAGAAAGGACATCTGTACTGAGGGGATTTGTATTGGGGAAGGGGGGCAGAAGTGAGGTGTCTGGTACTGGGGGGGGGCTGTACTCAGGGGTCTGTATTGAGGTAATCCCTCTGTGCTGGTGGCAGGGGGGGGTGGCTGTACTAAGGGGTCTGTGCTGGGGAGAGTTTGTACTGAGAGGTTTGTGCTGGGATCTGTCTGTACTGAGGGGTCTGTGGTGGGGGTCGGTCTGTGCTGGGAGGGGAGTCTGTACTGAGGGGTTTGTACTTGGAGGGTCTGTACTGAATGGTTTGTGATTGGGGAGGGAGGTCTGTCTGTACTGAGGAGTCTGTGGTGGGGGGTTAGGTCTGTGCTGGGAGGAGAGTCTGTATTGAGGGACTTGTTCTGGGAGGGTCTGTGCTGAGTGGGTATAATGGGTGCGGGGGGATTTTTAGGGAAGATCGGTACTGTGGGGGATATAGACTTGAGAGGAAGCATTATTTGTACTGGGAAGAAGGAGTAATTTTGGTTGTAAAGTGGCATGTGTGTTGCCAAATCCCAACCCCTACAATATAGACAGTAAGGGGAATTTATCAAAACTGGAGGAGTCCAAATCTGGAGTAGCTGTGCATGGCAACCATTCAGCTTCTAGCATTCATTTTCAAAGCTTAACTGAAAAAGCTAAAGATAGAAGATGATTGCTTGTCATGCACAGCTGTTCCAGATTCTGTTTGCTCCAGTTTCAATAAATTCCCCTCACTGTGTTTTACATTTCATTCTCATGGCTACTGCACTCTAAATATGTTACTCCTGAAATCCTTTAAAGTAGACTTTGTGTAGAAAAGCATATGAAAGTTTCATTGTTTAAAAATGAGTCTGCTGAGGTTTGTACATATCTCTTGCTTGTGAGACAGTCAGTAAAGCATTATTTGTGGGTAAAAGAACTGTTGCAAGGCTGGTGCTAGACTATTTTGCACCCTAGGCAAGACCAGCTACTTTGTACCTCCACCCACCCCACCCCCCCCAAAAAAAATAAAAAAAACCCAAAAACTTCACCTGTAGTTCTACTACTTCATCCTTCCTAGCACACATCCTTTCCCACAATTCCCCCCTCCTAGCATAAATCCCCCCAATCCCTCCTCCTAGCACAAACCTCTCATCTCAGGAAAAATGAAGAAATGACTGTTACACCTTCCCCCTCTTTTTATTGTGTAAAATTCCCCCATTTGATAAGCCCCCCCCCCACATATTACAAGCGGGAAACCAGGTTGAGATGCAGGCTGTGCTCTCCCTCCTGTCAGTGGAGCGATCCTCCATACAGCAGATGACACAGGATCGCTCTTGGATTGGGCTGTACAAACTTTGATTACTCTGCCCCCTATCTCCTCCAATGACTGCTCATCAAACACTGATCATAATGTAAGAGCTATCCTGTGTCATCTGCTTTATGGAGGATCACTCCACTGACAGGCAAAGAGAACACAGCCTGCACCTCCTACTTCTCTCCTGTCATTTCTCCTTTGCAGGCTTCACTGCTTCAGACTGCTCTCCCCCCTTTTCCCAGCCGTGAATGCAGGTATGGGGGAAGGCATTAATTGGCAAGGCAGCGCGCCCATGGAAAGACCAACCTGGGGAGGGGTGTGGAACAACAGAAATCTGGGCGCCGTCTACCCCACCAGCCCCCTAGATCCAGACATGGCAGAGAGTAGTGAAAGCAGTGGCCGTGGCTGCATCTCCTAGGCAGCAGTGTGCCTTAGGCAGCTGCCTAGTTCGCCCAGTAGTAGCACTGGCCCTGCATATGAGTACTGAGTATAGGGGTGGTATACCCCTATAAGCACTTCTGATTGTTCGCACAATTTGGCCGCACACATAATTTGGTGTGCCATGCTGTTCGCACCACTTTATTTCTTCAAATGACTTTTATTGGGGGGGGGGGGGTTTGACATCATAAGAAGTATACTAGGCCTTGGTTCAATTTTACATTA